CGAGACTGTTGAAACGGGGATTTGTTTGATAAAAGATTTATTACCAGTATTGGGTTGTTTTGAGCAGCTGTTGTGATTAGAAATTATTACTACGAGTGTGTGAGTTAGGTGGTATATCATGTGATTACATCTTAGGTTACAAATATGGTTTGATACAACTTGTTCGGACTTATTCAGAGTGTAGATGTGGGATTTTGATCTTATAGAAACTTCTGGATGATGGAAATTGGGTTCTAAGACTCATGGGCTAGGTTGGATTAAGAAATTTCAGTCATGTTGCGTTATCAGACCTATATGGGATAGGGTGATGTGGGATCACCCCCGGGTATGTGCATAATGAGGATGCATGGCGATTTGATAGCTTTTGGAACAACTCTGGACATGTTCGAGGATGAACGTATGTTTAAGTGGGGGAGGATGTAACAACTCGACCGGTCGTTTTTGCCATTTGCACTTCGCTCACCAGTTCTCAGGCATGACTAGCCCCGTATGATGTATTATGACTTATGTAAATCGTCGGTTTTGGTTTTCAGGTTAATCGAAATAGATATGAAGAATGATTCTCAACTGGAAGCTTTAAATTTGAAAGGCTTGACCCAGTCTTAACTTTTTAGTATACGATCTCGGATTTGGATTTTCATGATTTGGTTAGCTTCATTGGGTGATTTTGGACTTAGGAGCGCATCCGGAATGTGATTTGGAGGTCCGTAGTATAATTTGGCTTCGATTGGCGAAAGTTGAAAATTTGGCGATTTTGGTCAGCGTGGAAAATTTGATATCGGGGTCGGAATAGAACTCCAGAAGTTGGAGTAGGTTTATAGTGGTGACGCGTGTACAAAATTTCAGGTAATTCAGAGGTGATTTGATAGGTTTCGGCGTCGTTTGTGAAATTTGAGAATTTATAAGTTCTTAGGCTTGATTCCGAGGATAATTTGGTGTTTTGATGTTGTTTTGAGTGCTTTGAAGGTTCGACTAAGTTTGAATATTGTTATGGGATGTGTTGACATGTTTGGTTGAGGTCCCGAAGGCCTCGGGTGAGTTTCGGGTAGTTAACAAATCAATTCTTGACTTTGGAAGTTGGTAGATTTTCTGGTATTTTGTTGCAGAGAATTCTTTCATCACGTTCGCGAGAGAGCTCTCGCGTTCGCGAAGGGATTTTGAGAGGGGCAGCTGAGTTGTTCTTTGTGTTCGCGAAGTAGTTCTCGCGTTCGCGAAGGTGTAGGACTTTAAGACTACGCGTTCGTGACCAGGCCATCGCGTTCGCGTAGAGTCTACAGTCTTTGGGACCTTCAGGTAGATAAGCCTACGCGTTCGTGAGGGTTGTTCTGCAATCGCGTAGGGCCAGCCAGCGTAGGCTTCCTGTTCGCGAGTGGGTCCTCGCGTTCGCGAAGGAGGATTTCCTGGTCAGAGGCAGTTTGTGCTTCGCGAACGCGATGGCACTACTGCATTCGCAAAGAGTAAAATCTGGGTAGCACTGTTACATATCAAAATCGAGGGTTTGAGCCCATTTTTCATATTTTGAGTTAGAGATCACGAAATTGGGCGATTTTTGAAGGTAATTTCAGAGAGGTGATTGGGGTAAGTGTTCTTCACTTAATTTTGGTTAAATTCCATGATTGTATCTTGATTTTCATCATCTAAATTGGGAATTGGGGTGTAAAATTGGGGGGAAATGAAAGAGAACTGGAGAGATGATATTGGGGATTTGAATAGCCATTTGATGTCGGATTTTGCTAAATTTGGTATGGGTAGACTCGTGAGTGAATGGGCTTTTAGTTGTTTGATTTTTGTCGGATTCCAAGACGTGGGCCCGGGGACCGGGTTTGAGTGGATTTCGGGATTTTGGTCTAAATTGATAGTTTCTCGTGTGGAATTCATTCTATTAGTGTATATTGATGGTGTTGTACTGATTGTGAATAGATGTGGAGCATTGGAGGCCGAGTCGAGGGGTAAGAGCATCGCGGAGTAAGGGTTTGACCAGTTTGAAGTAAGTAATGATTGTAAATCTAGTCCTGAGGGTATGAAACTCCGGATTTCACATTGTTTTACTACTTTGAGGTGATGCACATGCTAGGTGACGGGCATGTGGGCGTGCACCATTGGGGATTGTGACTTGGTCCGTCCCATAACAACTATTAAGTTGCGTATTTGATTGAAATTATATGATATTTATGTGTTTTAGAAAGAATTTCTATGAATTGGGCTGAATGTCATATTTAGGCCTTGTTCCAGAGCTGTTTGGACCCTTAGGGGCCTATCTTATTATCCTCTCACTATTTTGATTGAAAATCTATACTTAGTCATGCTATATTTATTGATTTCATAACTCAGTCTTTATCACTCCGTTTTGATGCATATAAATGTTATTTGGGCTGAGCATCGTGTTTTTACTAATAGCCAGAGTGGCTTGAGAGGTTTATGACTGAGTGAGGCCGAGGGCCTGTATTGTATGTGATTGGGCTGCACACCGCAACATGTCGTTACTGATTCATGATTTTGTAAGGCTGATGGCCTGATTGATTTATGCCACGAGATGGCTTGATATTGTTACTGATTCATGATTATGTGAGGCCGAGGGCCTAATTGATTATGCCACAAAGTGGCTTGTTATAGTGCTTGGGCTGTGGGGGCCCCTCCGAAGTCTATACACCCCTAGTGAGCGCGGGTACCGTGAGTGAGTGATATGATATTTTTGCCCGAGGGGCTGTTTACGAGTGATAGAGAGATATGCCCGAGGGACTGTATATGAGTGACAGTGATGATTGCCCGATGGGTAGTTTATGATTTATGTTGCCCGAGGGGCTGTTATGATTTATGTTGCTCGAGGGGCTGTATACGAGTGAGTTTTGCCCGAGAGGCCGACTATGTTTTCATCATTTTTACTCACTGTTTCATCACTTTGTTTGAAAGCTGCTAAAAGATGTTTTAAATGGTTTTTACACATCTTCAAATGATTTTTACCGAAGACTGGATTTTTAAACGAGATGATTTGATTCATATACTGATTTAAAAGCCTGTTATATTCTACTGAGATTTTGTGATATGAACTGTATATATTTTATTGCTCGTCACTACTGCTCAGTCTTTATTTACTTTTACTACTTACTGAATTGGCGTACTCACATTACTCTCTGCATCTTGTATGCAGATCCATGGATTGTTGGACGTGTTAGTGAGTGTTGTTTTCATCCATCGCGGATCTACTGGAGTTAGTAAGGTAGTTGCATGGTGATCGCAGCCTGCTCTTCGGTCTGTATATGTCTTAGTGTTATCGAACAACCCTTTGTAGATGCTCATGACTAGTGACACCCCGATGTCGGGCTTTCTTTCCGTGTTGTTGTTTTGATTTAATCACTCTATGAAGGTTTATTGTCAAATAGCTTTGATTTTATCTTAAGAATAAAAATATTGATTGGTTTTGTTAGTGTGTCAGCTTGCCTAGTACCACGGTAGGCGCCATCATGACATGGTAGATTTGGGTCGTGACACTCTGGTGTTTCTTTCATTTGGTCTACTCTTATTAATGGCTGGCAGTTATGCCAACACGGAACACAACGGATACTGGATAATGTCACTCTTATTAACTTTGGATAGACTCTTGGTTACCCTCCCATACGCCCATTCGCAATTCCTTAATTGGGCCCCTCCCCGTAATGCCCATACCAATACGGTCTCTACCTATTTATCCCATGGTCAATGGGATTTTACCTCCCTCCCCTTTGAACTACCGCCTCCACTGCTACATAATATTCTTAGTATACATATCCCTTCCCATACACTCTCCCCCGACTCCTATGCTTGGGCCCTTACGAAGAATGGGACTTTTACCACCAAATCACTCTACCACCATTTACTCTCGTCCCCCTCTTGACACTCTTTCACATGGATCTGGAAACTTCAGTTACTCCCCAAAATTAAACATTTCCTCTGGCTCTGCGGCCATCATCGCCTTCCCACTGCTACATATTATCATCATATAGGCATACTAAACAGATATGTTTGTGCCTGATGTCGCATGAGTCCATAAACAATTAGACATCTCCTACTAGATTGTCCAGCAAACACACTAATTTGGACTAACCTAGGCATGCTCCCGAACCTTACTGGGCTCCAGGGGCTTGACGACACCGCTCTTTAATGGCTAAAACAACTTATCTTACACACTGATGTTCCAAATAGCCTGAACATCCCAAATTCCATACTCATACCGTTCTGTCTCTGGCATATTTGGTTAGCTCGAAATGCCATCCTTTTTCGCTCACCGTTAAAACCGCTTTCTGCCTCTCATATCCTCAACTTGGCAGCCGAATTTTTCCATATTGCTATTCTACCACGGTCCTCGCATAACCTTATACCCATACAACTTCAATGGCACTCACCTCGCAATACTCCTAACACACTTAACACTGATGGATCAGCCCATTTAGATACAAGACAAGGTGGGATTGGTGGTGTCATACGTGACTCAATGAGTAACTGGCTTATCGGCTTTTTAGGACATCACATCTCGCATGGGAATGTTGAAACTGAACTACGTGCGCTTTACCACGGATTGCAATTGGCTTATAACAATGGCTACAAGCCTATCGAAGTGAACCTGGATGTTTAAATAGTAATTAATATATTATAGACCTCGCACCCTCTTTATGCTAACCTTATACATGATTGCAGATTTTTGCTCGCGCAACTGGATGATCTTATACGTTACACATACATGGAGCAAAACCAAGTAGCTGATTTGCTAGCGAAGTATGGCTTCCATATAGATAACACTATCGGCACAACCCCCACTTTTTGTACAACCGGCTTTGGAGGATGATCGCTCAGGCTCACTTTTTGTTAGATGGGTTACACCATTAGTTCTTCAGCGTGCAGTCTGTTCACACAATCCTCTTAGCCAATCTTTTTATATATCACGCACTATGAATATTAGCAATAGTAGTAGTAGTAATTCCATTAGACCCTCCTTTGTAACGACCCATCACTGGGTCGCCCCTTAGGTTAGTTTCTATGCTTTCAAATGCTCCCTGTACTGTACTACCCTGGTTCAACTTAATATTGTAATAGTTATCCCTCGAACAAAACAAAACAAAACAAAAAAAAAAGCATTTACGAGCGTCTTTCTTTTTTCTTTCTTGTTTTTCTTTTCCTCTCTCTTTGCTCACACATTCCAAAATCCAAAGGTAAAAATATTTGTTAATGCCCTGTTAAAAGCAATCCTTCCTCTCCCCGCGCTCTAATTCTGCAGAACAGTAAATTAATTCTCCTAATTATCTTCTCTTATTCTTTTGCTAATTAACAAAGTCTAGGGTTTAAATATTCAGTACGAAGTACAACTTGTTTATCTCCATTTCTTGAATCCTCCCTCTCTAGCAGTGGTACAAATCGAGGTATGGTCTTTTCTTTTCTTTTTAAAAAAAATCTGGGTCTATTGAACTTCCATGTTCATACTATTTAGTAGTATGCTTAAGTCATTATGTGCTTTAGTTTCGCTTCTTTTTTTTCGGTTGAAACCTTTAGATTTTATTTTAAATTGTGTTAACTATTGAACTTTCTATATTTTATTGTATTTTGCTTGTTTTGACATTCAGCATAAAAGCTAACGGAAGTGATTGTAGCATGATGTACATACACCAGTGAATTAGAATCATGTGTTTAGCAACTTATTTTCTGGTACAACGTAGCTAAAAGAACAGATCTTTTTCAGCATTTCATAAGTAGTTATGCTGATTCTGAAAGAACAGGCCTTTCTTTCAAGCTCAACAGAATCACTGAAAGATGTTAGGGAAGTGCTATTTTCACTCTTCACTGTCATGAAAACTCAGATTAAGTGTGTTTTTCCTGGTTTGTAGAGAAATTCTTGGTTTTAGGATTTGATCCCAGGACTTTGGTTCAGTGGTAAGGAGATAATATGGGGTGTGGGGATAGGGTGCATGTTNGAGTTTCCCGCAAGTGCACCACGGTTAATTCAGGTTTTACCCAGTCCGATGGCCCTCAGAAATTGTTTGCACCCAGTGGGTTTCGAACTTGAGACCTTGAAAGGGAGCAAACCCCAAGTGAGTGGGAGCTTAGTATACTCCCTCAGGTTTTGAACATGTGGGCTAACTGGGGTTGGGCAGGTTAATTTACAGGGGATTTCATGGTTATTAAAAAAGATTTTAACTTCTATTCATACTTTAAAAAAAAAACAAAGCAAAAACCTTTTGGGAACTAATGCAGATTTAACAATTAAAAAAATAAAGCTATTGGAGACTCAACATTGTACATTTTATAAATCCAATGTTATGAATGAAGAAGAGCTTTTATTGGTCTTACCTAGTAAGTCCAGGTTTGCCGTATGCTTACCGTTCCTTGTCTTATAAAATTCAGATGAGGAGTTTTTGGATGAGTTCATATAATAATGTAAGTGAAAGCTCTCAAGTAAGTTTGCTTTCACTACACTTGTAAAATGCTTATAATAGTTTAATTCTAGGTATTCAGCTCCACTTGTGAATCAGTAGGTGTACCTTGCTATAATTCATCAGAAAAGCATATATCGGAAACAACCTCTCTGCCTTTTCAAAGGTAGGGGTAAGGTCTGCGTACATACTTCCTTCCCCCGACTCCACTTGTGGGATTACACTGGGTTTGTTGTTGTTATTGTTGCTGCATCAGAAAAGCATATAAAAAGTTAAGAATTGGCAAAACTGGTGTCTGTATTTTCTGCGAAAATCATGTCATAGTAAGCTTTTCATCAACAAACTTATTATTCGTCTCTTCTGCTTTGGAAGAGATTATTATTTTAGTGTGTTGTTAGACCTCTTACTTGATGGTTTAGGACTGCATGCATATTTGGCTCATCCTTTTGCATTGGAAGGACACTTCTTTTTTATTCTTCCTAAAAAATACGGGCACCATCATTGAAAGATGGTCTGGCTGTCATCTTCTATTTTTCTTGCTTGTTGGTTCAAGAACCTCGGGGGTACCATTTTCCTTTTGCATTATTTGATAATTTATTTCCACGGCTTAGGCCTTATGGGATATGTGAATCGTGTAGTTTGCTGTTCATCGTGGATTTAGATTAAGAAGTATTTTCCAATATTAATTTGCGTACAATAATCATAATTCAAATTCCATATTCGTATACAAAGGTTATATATCCCTATTGATGATAGTGGTAAATCTGATTTAAACATATTAAGGGAAAGAACACCTTGTGGTGCACTCCATACAATCGGTTGCCATTTGAATATCCAAATAGTTCCTACAGGCTAAAGCTTCCTGAGGATCAAGCTACACAATAAAACCATGCATGTCAACTTGTATAAGGAAAAGCCATTTGAGCTTGTGCAGAAGTGATTTTCTTTTTACACTTGACCTATCCAATTCTTTTCTTAATTGGTCGCTTATCACATTGCTTCATGTCTATTGCTCATTATTGTTATGTTATTCCCCCTAGCAAGCTAGTCTCACACGTACCTAAATTTCCTGATTAGGAAAGGTTTGTTTCACTACGCAGCATTATGAGGTGTCTTGAATCATTTTTTGGGGTGTCTTGAATTACACATCTCAAAATGTTGTCAGCTCTGAGCTGGGTCTTGCTGCATTCATTTGTTGCTCCAGGTGGATAAGGATTCAGATATGCTTCCTTGCAGTAGAATTTTCTATTTTTTAAAATTGTTTTTCCTCTTTTTGCAGTCGTTATTTGTACTACTCTGCCTTATGGCACTATAAGAAAACTGATGGAGATAGTTTCCTGCCAGACAACTTTGTTCTTTTCTGTTCAAGCAATAACCCACTATAAAAAACAAACTGTGGAAGGGAAAAAAGGGAGGTGGTGGGAGTGGAAGACAGAAAGAGGCAGTGTGTGAGGGAGAACTGACTTGTCTACTTTATGTGGTGGAAGTGTCATTTTGGTATATGTATGGGAATGAGATTTGCGGTATATCTCAGTAAATGGAGTGGTGTTTGAGGTGTTGCACATATTCTTTTCTTGTGAACAAAGGATATAACTATTCCACAAATTTGAATGATTAGATAAATCTGTTGGATGTTCAGTGACACTCTGATAGTAGGTGTCTTGTTTCACCCACAACTCCCCAGTCCCCACAATTCCTTTTACCCAAATCAACTGAGTCCTACTTAGCCTGGGTAAGCTAGGATTATATTGACGATAAAGCTATAAATTGTTGTCTCTCCTTGTAACACCTAATCTTCTATTCATATGCTATAGAGAATTGTGATATTAGGCTTATTTCAAGATGTTGGTGCCAGTATAATTTATTCTCTCTTTTTTATCTTCTAAACATGTTTCTTTTTCCAATCGCTCTATTTTGGGGACTCTTCTACACATGTTTACATGTAAAAAAGCTTAACTCCAATATCCTCTATGTGCCAGCTAACCATAGTTTTTAACTTACCATTTTTGGAACACTTACTGACCTGATTTTGCTCAACTAAAGCTTGGAATCATGCAGTTCCTTGCGTATCGCGTCCTCCTTCCCAAATTAATTGTTCACCTTTTTTCCCCGAGTAGTTCCGTTTTGAAAAGAAGGGATACTTTAGGTCATTTTAGTCGTGCCAAGTCAGTCGGATGTCGCATCTTTAATCTTTATAATTATTCCGAGTCAAAATAAGAAGCTGATCTTTTCCAGGTACTGCACAAGACTAGCAGGAAGAATTCAGATACTGAGCAGCATTTTCTGAAAATGAGTGAAGCTATTCAAGGGAACAGCTCCTATACCGCAGTAACTCTTCCTGTGAAGCGAGGGCGGGGTCGCCCGCGCAAGGATCACAACCTAAAGCGTGTAAAAACTGTTCAATTTCCACCAGGGTTTGAACAAGTAAAAGCGATCCTACCCCGGCAAGTAGATACAGTTAATGTTGCAAATGATGGGATGATAGGTCGGCCCATTACAGGTGTCGTTGAAGCTGCATTTGATGCTGGTTATTTGCTCAGTGTTCGGATTGGCGACTCCAATACAAATTTCAGGGGTGTTGTCTTTAGGCCAGGGCATTTTGATCCGGTCACAGCAGAAAATGACGTAGCACCACATGTTCAGATGATTAACAGGAATGAAATTCATCTACCCATTAGAAACCAAGTTCAGGTACATGGCCATGGTCGGTCTTTAAAGAGCGCCCAGCTGACTGTATTACCTCCAACAACAGCTCCTTCTGCCACTTCAGTGGGAGCCCGCGGCGCAGTTGTTCCTGTTGTCCTTCAACCAGTCAATCCGACCATTGGATTGCCACCTACTATGCAAGCTCCTCCAACTTCATCCCAAGCTGCTTATATGGGAGCTCTGAAGGAGAGAGGTGTGCAGAATGTTGCGCCTTTGGCTACGCTTCCACCTGATGGATCACAAACCACTAGTAAGGTAACTCAAGTCAGCGTCCAAGAAGTGATGGTAACTAGGCATAATGGGGATGGTTCCTTTGGTGAGGGAGCAACATTGATGCAACAGAAAGAGGTTAAGCCAATTGTATCAAACAACATAGGTAAACCTGTTGAAGTGACCAAGGGGATTCAAGGTTCTTCTTTATCACCAGATATGAACACTAAAGATTATGAGGCCTCTCATAAGCTGTCAGCAGCAGGAAACTTGAGTGTTGTCCCTGAACGAGACATTGGTGACATGAATGAGCTTCCCTTGATGGAACCAAGTGACGTGGTAAATTCCCCTCTTCCTACCCACTCCACATCTGTTCCAAAACCATTGATGAGTTATGGGATTGGCAGGATGACAGAGCTTTTACAGGTAAAATAGAATAACTTGCACTGTTTGTTTTAAATTCTGGAATATTGTACGTAAATCCTGAAAGAATTTCCTGATTGAAGGCCGTGCAGGAAAATATGATGGAGAACCAGGAGCTTCGTGCTGGGGGATCAGCCATTGGCCTTGGCAAAGAGTTTGTTAGAACGACAAGTCCAAGAACTGATGGTAACAAAGAGAAATCAGGTGTTCAGCAAGGGAGACGACCCTGAATCTGATCTTTGATGTCACAGATCCCCTAGCCAGATCGACCTTTATAGCACATAGAGATGTGATGTAGTTCAACTGCTTCTAAAGTTGTACCTCATCTCCGTGGAATGACACATTTGGGGCGTAAAAAAGGCCAAAAATTGGTAAGTGTTGGCAGTTGAGAAAGCGGCTTGGCTAGCATGTTTAAGTCCTGCTGTAGTTATTTTGTTAATTTGTTTAGACAAAAAAAATTAGATTTTCTTTAGGTGGTATGATGAACAGATTGTCTAAAATGCTAACTTCTTTCGTGTTTGAGGACAGGCACTCCCAGCCCACATTTTATTTGACAAAAAAAAAAAGTGTAGGATCGGAGAGGAAGATGACCTTTCAATTTTATGTCATTCTTTCTAACGGTAGAAACTTACCATGGAACCTAGAAGCACGTTTTAGAACTGTGTTCCCTCTAAATATACTTAAATATTTAATGAATTCCTTAATACCAACTCGTGTTGTCTCCTCACTATGTAGATGCATGCACCAATTTTACTGATAGAGTCCTNGTCCCATGAGCCGCTTTTTAATGTGTTCGCCTTCTTTCTTCCTTCTTTTCCATACGGGAGGATCATGGGGTTCTCCCACCATACATCTCCGGGGTGCAACTGTTCAATCTAGTATTCGGAACGGGAACCACAAAAACTCCTCAATAAATAGGGTAAAGTTTCTTGTGGTAGGAATTTTGAATGAGCAAGTTGATTTTCCACCTATATTTAAGATTGTATTTGGCCATTTCATAAAGGACATATCGGTGTCGACTTGGGTTTATTAAGAAAGATTATGCAAGATATTGCTGAGGTTAAACACCAAGTACACACGTGATTCTTGCTATAGCAAACTACATTAGCATCGTCATCAAATATGCAAATCCAATAGTTACAACTTGTTCAAGGTAGCAACGGTGACAGTCAACAACACAGCAGTTTTCTCAGAGTAGCCGCTCCTATCAAGATGAAGATAATAGGACTGTATACCATATAACTTGCTGGGATAGCAAAGGAAAGAAGAGTTTTTGTGGCAAATTTAACTTACTGCTTCAGCAAAAAGCTTCTACAAATTACAACAGTAAAATGGATAGTGCAGTACATATGTCGACCAACAGTAAAAGATTGTTTCAGGATCTATGAAGTTTTGCAATCAGAACGAATCATCTAAACTACTAGTAATATTTACACTTAATTCTAAATCTGCTTTGGCATACAAGTTAGTCGGTATTCTTTTCCCATGCTCTTTCAGTATAACACTAACTCAGAAATGCAAGCCATATCTTGTCAAAGCCAACCTGCTGGCCTGGAAAGCATTCGACAAGCATTGGAAGAACATCTCTTGTACATATACCTTAAACCACCGCAAGTTAGTTGCCCATCGAAATCGTTGTCAACAACTTAGCGGCCTGTAATATTTTGGAGGCATAGATGGGCACTTTTCATTCATATGGGGGTATATATCCATTGTATTGTATCCAGGCAGTTCCATCCGGTACTTCCCTCGAATTTGGCAGAAAGGAAGCTTCACTGTGTCATCCGCATTGCACCACTTAGGCAACCGATTTGGATCGTTTTCAAAAAACTTGAGCGAGTAAGCATCCTTTATCTGCACTTAAGAACAAGTGACAACTTAAGACACACTACCTCCTGAAACCATGGAATTGTTTTTAATTAAATCTGCCTTTGGTGGCGGGGGATTTGGCAGACCCCTAACAGTTTATTAATACCTCAATGGAATTCAATATAAGACTACATGCCTTTGAGTGAGATGCACCAAAAGGGTCGACAGGGATTAGAACACAGCCAAAGATACATCTTCAAAATAGATAAAAATTACTACTCCAGCCTACTCCAAATTTCCTAGTTCACCTCTTCACAAATTCTATTGAATAGGTTGAAGCACTTTCTTTCACTAAATAATGCAAGAGTTCTTACACGCATGCGCGAATATGTGCGCGTGCACGTGTAGAAGTAGGTTCAAGATAGAAAATTGACAATGTTTTGACAGCATAAATGTGGTCCCCTTCCTAGCTAGTTGGTAGTAAAATATTGCAGTAGTAAAGGTATGGGGGAAATTATTATTTTAAAAGTAAACCATGTAAAAAAAATTTGTGGTATAACCCAAGCACAAAAGTAGAACAGTTAGACACAGGGGAAGTAACTAAAAGGGTAAGGACTAACCAAACTATATGGAGTACTTGGTAGGCTTATGTGAATAGTAGGACAGGATAAGCAAAAGATACTTCACTAGTGCTATGCCCAAGGATTTAAAAGAAAAATATACTTTCTTTCAGATTCAAGCAATTAATGCACCGCAGTGCTAAGGCAACCAACTGAAAGGAAAATCACCCTGCCCCTGAAAATGGAACTTCAAAATCCATCTAACGAACTCACCGTGAATTCTGTAACCTGAATCGAACCTGCAAGTGGACCAAATAGTCCTGCTTCCTTATACATTTCAAGAATAAAAGCAACACAAGATGTTGATTTCCCATCAGTATAAACCCAGTCATCCTGTTCTGGGATAGTCAACAATTTGGCAAAGGATGACCCACGCTTTTCAACTTCGACGAGAATATCTGGAAGACCAAGGCCCTGCACACAGACAAAATCAGTTCCTCATTCAACATTTAATTGTGAATCTTATCAGATGTACGCCACAAGCCTACACTCACTTGGCTTTTTGCTTGAGAATTTTGACACTATGATTTTAACCAAACAATTTTGCAATTCCATGCTAGACTATAGTTATGCTAATGAGATTTGTTCATTTCATATTAAGTTGCTCGACTTAGTAAACCAGCTACTCAGGAAGCATATACTATATAGGTGAACAGCTTCTCTTAGTGTATTTTGTCCACTCTTTGTCTCAATAATTAGAGGCGGTTCACTAATTTGATAAGACAGATATGACCTGAGTTCCAAGTCGCTTGTTTAAGGCTTCATTCCACATGTTAGCAGCATATGCAGGCTGTAATTGATTCCAAACAGTCATGACAGAAGCAACCTGTACCGAGCAACATATCAACAAACAATTAAAGCTGGTGAAATTTCACAAATGCACCAAATTGAAGAGGCATAAAGCAATCCAGTAGCACTATTTGAATTACAAACGATAAGCACCAACATTTCAACTTTATATTCGAAGTTAGTCATTTTTCTGCATTCCCCGCAACAACATTTTCCTCTCTTTCCATGCCTCCAACTCTATCCTCGTCATTCTTCTTGTGTTCAATCATCTTTCATACATCTCAAAAGTAATTGTGCTGGCATCATTATATGATATTTTGATGTTCTTGCACAAAAACACATCAGTCTACATAATTTTATATATTTAACCCACACTGATGGCAATGGTTTCTTTTAGCTATTCAGAGTACGATGATGTTTCCATAAAATCAACTTTTGACATCAATTTTCTAAAAATTGATATGACATGAACCTTCTGATGGAATTTAAGCTATCACAAGATGATAAACCTATCATTCTCTGCTCAAGTAAACATGCATACTATATGTGGATTTATATTAAAAACTTGAACTGAAATAAAAGGTTTCAGCAATCAAATGCAGCTCCATGAGAGAGAATTCACAGATAAGTCATACTAAAATTCAACTTGAATTAATGACATACGTTGTAGAAGTCGACATACTGTTCAACACATCAAAACCTGACCAGCTATTTTGAGACCCAATAAGAAATTTGAAAACCAATTTTTTGGGTATAATAGTTCAACAGTCTGGTTGTTGTTGTTGTTGTTCAACAGTCTGCTTGAAAAAAGCAATTTCTTTGATGAACTTCCATACCTCCCTAGGATGCTTTTACAATGTTCATACTTTGAGGCATCGAACAACTAAGCATTTTATCCTTGAGGACTTGGTGCTTAGGATTTCCCAGACTTCAGGAAAATTCATATGATTTGCTTTAGGCTAATACATCATAGAAACTCGATAATCATTTTCACTTCAAGACTAAGTAAGCATGAGTTTCATAGAGTCATGGTGATTTATTTACCACATGACTGTTTTTCTTCTTATTCTTACTCTAAACTCTTAACTAAAAACCTAGAATAAATGCTAATCACTTATTTCAGTTCACACGTCTCGAATCTTAAATGCACCAGTCAAAAACAATCTTTATCTGAAAGAACATAGCTCAATGCTTAAGCCAAAGCAGAATTTGATTGAAGTGGAAAATGCAAAGAATTACAAAGTAAAAGGATTATTAAGTGGTTATGGAAGGAAATACTTCAGAGTAATAAAGCAAGAATAAAATTGGCCCAAATATGAATAGACGGTGCATACCAGATGCGCATCCAAGGGAGAGGGGTAATTTCCGTCAAGTGTGTCTATCCAGCTAAATATTAAGTTGTGGAAACCATAAGGTTTGCCGACCATGCTTCGTGCATATTCCCAAGCAGCAGTCTCATTAAACTTGGCACGGAGATCAGGATGCAAAGGGAGCAATGCAATATGTGGATTGGAATCATCTTTTGTCAGCTCAAACTCCCACCATTCCTCCCACGGTAAAATAGCAATTACATCTTCTCCCTGAAAATAGATACACAAACAAGTTGGCCCGATAATTTAATATAATCATGTTAATATCCATGCTTAAGAGTTTTCTTATTTGGTTCAACCCCAGCTCCACGGCGGAGCCAATGTGTTGATTATAGGTTCGGCCGAACTCAGTAACTTTGATTCGAAACCTGTATTTCTCTTAAAGATTCATCGAATATATACAAATTATTAATTTAAAACTGAGTAACTTAAAAGAACTAGAATCCTAAACTCATAAGCTTCAAATCCTAGCTCTGTCTCTACCCACCTCCAACCTTCTAGGGGAGTTTGGTTCAACCACTACCTGACACTACCCCAATCATACAATTTCGAACACCGAGTTATGACTACTACATCTGATGGAAGATGGTGTAAACTTTGTAATGGGGTCACATCATTTTGATATGATAGCAATACAACATGGTAGTTGAGCTCAGCACTATCACAGTCTTACCAATGCTTAAAAGTTAAAATTGTATACTCTGTACATGCATCACTAGACAGACCACAACCTGAAAGCACCCCATATTACCTCCGCCTGAAGTTATTCAACTTGATTTGGAGTATCGAGTAATGTCTATTGCACCTGCATCAAGGTGCTTATTTTCACAAGCTATAGAATCAATTGATCTTCTAAAATCTAACAAGCCATATCTCCAAGATATTTATTCTTAGCGGCTAACGAGCTATAGGATTGACTGCTAACTAAACCTTAAAGATATTCCAACAAGTAAAAGAAAGGAGAAAAATAGTAGCAAAGAAAGTTGAATTCTAGCTATGTAGTAATATTAAAACT